GAAGGGAGGCTGACAGCCACGCAACCCAGTTTCTGCAAAAACAAGTCCTGCCAGACGAACCTTCTGGATTTCAATGGCAAGGTTTTGAGGTGGCTAGATGGAGGGGGTGCGGTGGATGTGGTTTACCTGGATTTCAGCAAGGGTTTTTGCTGGGCTATTGACAAAGTGCTGCATGATATCCTGGTTGAGAAACTGAGGAGTTTTGGGGTAGACCGATGCACTGTCCGATGGGTCAGGCACGGCTGACAGATCAAAAGCAGATGGTAACTATTAGTGAGGAATCATCAGGATGGTGGACAGTGATGAGCAGGGTCCCCCAGGGCTCAGACCTGGGATTGATCCTGTTCAGTCTTTTCATCAATGACCTGGAGGAGGGGGTGAAAAGGCTGCTGTTCAAATTAGTAGATGATACTAAAATGGGGGCAGTGGTCACAACTGAGGAGCAGGTACTCCAGATCCAAAAGGATCTGGGCAGACTATGGCAGTGGGCCGGGGACAAAAGGATGGTGTTCAATGTGGATAAGTACAAGGTCTTGCACTTGGGGCATAGGAATGGGTGTCATAAGTACAGGTTAGGGGACAAGTGGCTGGAGAGCAGCACTTGTGAAAGGGACCTCAGGGTGCTGGTTGACTGCAGGCTAAACATGAACCAGCAGTGTGATGTGGTGGTCAAGAGGGTGAATGCCACCCTTGGTTGCAAAGCCAGAAGTGCGGCTTCTAGATCGAGAGAGGTATTACTGCCACTCTAAATGGCTCTGGTGTGCCCACAGCTGGAGTGTTGTGTTCAATTCTGGGCTCCTCATTTCAAGAGGGATATAGCAAGGAATCAGTGCATCGAAGGGCCACTAGGATGGTGGCTGGTTTGCAGGGGAAGCCACACGAGGAGAGACTGAGGGAGCTGGGTCTTTTCAGCCTTGAGAGGGGACCTGTTAGTGACATACAGGTACGTGAGGGGGTGCCATGCGAAGATGGGTCGTCACCTTTTTTCCCCTACAGTGGAGGGCAGGACACATTCCAATGGAGCAAAGCTCAAGGAACTGAGATTCATGGTGGATGCCAGGAAGTACTTCCTGACAGTTAGGACCCCGAGGGTATGGAATGGACTTTCATGGAGCTGAAGGTCAGACTAGATGGCCCAGGAAGCCCCTTCTCACTCACTCTGTTTCTACGTTTCTATGCTTTTATGTCCATAAAAGTCATCCAAGCTTTGGGCATGGACAGAGTTTCCTGGCAAGCTATGTAGTTATCCTCATCCCCTCCAAAACCTCAAGAAAAGACAGTATTGGCCTGCAGCGGCTTCATGGATTAAGATCTTAGTCACCATGGCCAGTCCTACGATGAGGCAGAGTGAAGCATCCAGGTCAGGTGGCAGATGATCAGGTGGGGCAGAGCTGGCAGCCTTCCAGTTGCTCCCCTTGAATTCTCCAGCTTTTTACTTTGGATGAAGGATGGAGCTGTGGATGCACTACCACAGCTAGGTTCGGCCAACACAACAACCCACACTCAAGAGTTGAGTGTGAGTTGTCATTGAACTGTGAGTTATCACTGAAACATGGGTTCTCATGTTGTCTGAACCCATTTGAGACAACAAACCATGGCACACCCATAGCTCACAACCCACCATAGGGTTTTTTTTTCCCATGGGTTCTTTGTGGTTAACAAGAAATGTTTTGTCATCTTAGCTGGATTCAGACAACACAAGAACCCTCATTTCAGCAACAAATCATAGTTCTACATCAACCCAAACTCAACCCATACTCAACTCTTGAGTGTGGGTTGTCTTGAAGTCAACCTGTCCTGGGCCCCTTAAACAATCCTGCTGCTTCTGCTATGATGGAGGGCTTTATCCCATTCCTACTGAAGTAGGTTTCAATGGTCAGTCCAACTGGCTTCTTTCTGTATGTGGAGAGTTTACTATTTCATCATTTTCCTCAGGCAACAAAGGTCTTGAAGAAGGCCTTCCTTGAAACAGATTAAGGGTAAAGGTTTCCCCTTGACGTTAAGTCCAGTCATGCCTGAGTCTGGGGGGGTGGTGTTCATCTCCGTTTCCTAGCCGAGGGAGCCAGCGTTTGTCCACGGACAGTCTCCGTGGTCATGTGGCCGGCATGACTAAACATCGAAGTGCACAGAACGTTGTTACCTGCCCACCAAAGTGGTACCTTTTTATCTACTTGCATTTGCATGCTTTCAAACTGCAAGGTTGGCAAGAAACAGATTAAAAACATCTTTAAGCAAAAACAGATTAAAAACATCTTTAAGCAAAAAAGAAGGTAGACAAGTTAGCAACCACAGTGTATCTCATCAGAAATGTGAATGGTTTTGTCAATTGCAAACGTTCTGGTTTTTTGGGTTTTTTTAAATCAAAGAGTGAAATGATTTTCATCCAGAGTTCCAGTTGCCTAGTAACCAAGTTGTTCTTTTTTTCAGCCTGTGTCTATTTTCTTAGTCGGCACCACATGGTCACCAAGTCTAGCTTAAGTAGCAGATTGGAGCAGAGGCGGCATGGTTAAATTCAGGTTGAGGACCAAGCAGCTCTGGTTCAGTGGAAAACCAATTTCTAATTCCAAAGAGACAGCGGATGGGTTTGCACAACAGAAGTCATGGTGGTTTCTTGCACACGATGGTCCATTGCATCATCTAAACCTTGTCATAATATTTCAGCACAGACTGCGTGGTTTTTAGAAACCATGATAAGTATCAATGCTTCTATGGTTTCTACATTTCACTGTGGTTTCTCTGGTCATCTAAACCAGGCATCAAGGTTTCCACCATGTTGCCATGGAGAGTGACAGCTGCTGCTGGGTAGCATTAAATTCCAGATGCAGTGGCTGATGGGAGATAGAACAATCTCTCTGCTGTGGTCCACCTGGCACTGAATTGGCCATTTTTTCAACATCTGGACAAGACAGCCCTCCATGTGGAGGCCTTTAAAGATCTCCTTGGTCTTCCAGGGACCTGAGGGTGTTATCCTGGAAATCTTTCTTGCTGGGTCTTTTTATTGTATTCTTACTCTTTTAACATTGTTGTTTTGTGTCATTTGTGTTGTATTTTGTTTTACACCTTGTTATAAACCACCAGATAGCTTCAAGTATGGGGTATTATGAAAATGAAACAAATAAATAGCTTATGCCAACAGTGGGAAGACTGAGTGGCTGGATTTGGACAACACAACAAGCCATCATGGTTTTTTTACCATTATTGGTCTTTCATGTTGTCTGAATCCATTCATGGTATTTCACCATGGTAAGTTTGGTCTTTAGAAACCTTGTTCTATGGTTTCTCTGTACCACCATGGCTTGTGTTGTCTGAACCCAGGATCATGGTATGCAACTACCATGGAGTACTCTGGAAAGATGAATGTTGGCATCAGGCATTGTGCCTGGAATGCATCCCAAGATGCGTCACTCCCTATGTCACCTGCCTCTCCCTCATTGGCCCACACTCTCAGGCTGGATAGAGACTCCTGTAGTTGCTGCTCTTCCCAGGATTCTCTGGGGTAGTTCTATACCAGGACTCTGGAAATCACAAACTGGTGTTCAGACAACACAAGCCATGGGGATACAGAGAACCCATCGAACAAACCAGTTTCTTATCATGGTTACTGAAACCCTAACATACCATGATAGAGTACCATAACTTAAGTTTGGAATATTCTCTAATCCAGCTGCACTAACAAAGCATAGCTTCTTAACCACAAAGAGCCCATGAGGAGAACCCATGGTTTGTTGTTGGACTTTAAACTGTGGATTGTTCACCATGGTTTGTTATTTTGCCAGGTTCAGACAATTTAACCCATGTTTCAACAACCCATGGTTCAGTGACAACCTGCTCTCAACCCTTGTATTATGTTGTCTGAACAGGGTGATTGTGGGGATAAAATGTCTACTTCCACAAAGGCCATGCAAGATGGAAAATGGTGGCAAAAGGATGTAATAAATCACCCTTGCTTTGTGTCTTTGTATACACATCCTTCAGGCTTTGTGGTCCTAAATAGACTGAGAGGTGGACTTGATTCAGGAAAATACAGCTTCCATTTCACAGCTGTGAAGTGTGTTGGATTCTTCCCTGACCAGAACAATGGTGAACAAGCAACGGTAGTCACCACGTTAGCCTAGCCTACTTGCAGATGAGATGGGAGAAAAAATCAAACAACTGCATGAAGCTTCCAAGTGCACAAAATGCAATATGGTAAGCTTTGCACCATGATCCCAGAACGATGTTGCTGGCGAGATGGTAAAAACAGCTGCACTGGACCACCCAGGGCTGAGGCCAGTTGCAGGACCTTCAGGTATGCTGTCCCACAGGTTGCTCACCTTTAATAAAATGAACTCTACTTTGCCTGTGGTCTGTAGTTCCGTTTTCCAACCCACCCATTGTGAAAAGACCATGCCCATGTAAGTGAAGCGCATGCATGCAATGCTCACACCTCTGCCTAGGCTGATCCCATGCTCCTCAGCCTCAGTGCACAAAAGCCTCCACACTCAGGGGCTCGCATGCATCCTGCACATGGAATGAGGTGCATTGGCAGGGAGGTCCACCACAGCTGCACCTCGCACTGGGTGGCTCACCTAGCCTGTCTCCCAGGTGAAGGACCAGGAATGGGGACGGATGGTGGCTGGGACTTACCTGTGGCCCCAGCTGTCACCCCTCACAGCTCCCCAGCACATCCCGTTTCCCTCCTCCAAGGCCCCATTATGACCTGGGGGGAGCCAGCCAGCCAGCACAGCTGTTCCCACGACAGCTGCAAGGGGGGGCAGAGTGGGGGCTGAGCTTGGATTTCCTCTGGCCTCCCAGAGCAGTCCTATCGTGGAGGGCCAGCAGAGGCACTTCATAGGAAAGCAATGGCAATGCCAGGAGTCCTGCTGGCTTGGTTCTGCCAGAATGACAGGAAAGGGTACTAGAAATTCTTTCCCCTTAAAACCTGGAACCAAGGGCCTTGGAATGAGTGTGCATGTATCTGTGCATGAATCAACGATGGATGCTGACAATCAAGACTTTTCTCAGGCCAATCCATGGTTTATTTCAGTTTCTCCGTGACATTTCAGCCCTCAAAAAATAAACTCTAACACATATGGATGGAAGACTTTCTACAAGTGTTACTAAGTGGGAATTTCTCTTTTGACTCCAGGGTTTCTGATTGGAGCGTCTCCTTTTTGCATGTGTGTGTGTGATATTCATCCAATAAGTTAGGGAGAAGCATGGAGCAGGGGTGGGTGCCGGGACGTTAAAGTGCGTTTCATTTCTGCGATGGCATGAGGTCATCGATGGACTGGCCCTTCTCAAGGCGCTTCTCCATTTCAATCAGTAGCTTCACTCCATCAACCACCATCTGTACCAGCTCCACCTCAGAGAACCCAAGGCGGTCGGCGTTGGAGACATCGAAGACGCCTCCCACTGCTGCAGTGTCCACACCACCTGGAAACACATGTCAGGATGCAGGAGTCAAGGAGGAGCCACAGATGCGCTAGGCCGCACAGGTGGCTGAGCCAGGATGCAGGCGTCTGCATTTCGATTCCAGCTCAACCACAAGACTGTTTTTCTCTCTGGATGTATACGCTCCAGGATTTTATTATTTTTAAGTAAATCAGAGCAGAAACCTTGTAAATAGCCCTCTGTTCCTTGGAGGTAACATTTTAATGAATGCACTGCCATCTTAATGAATGTACCATCTTAACTCATGGTTGGGTTACCTGAGGCCATCCAGATGGTTTGGCCTACAATGCCCATCAGCCTTAAATAACATAGCGCAGCCTTGTCCCCTCCACATGTGTTGGATTAAAAAGGTAAAGGTTTCCCCATGACATTAAGTCCAGTCATGCTTGACTCTAGGGGGCGGTGCTCATCTCCGTTTCCTGGCCGAGGGAGCCAGCGTTTGTCTGCAGACAATTTCCATGGTCATGTGGCCGGCATGGCTAAACACTGAAGTGCACGGAACACTGTCACCTTCTCACCGAAGTGGTACCTTTTTATCTACTTGCATTTATATACTTTCAAACTGCAAGGATGGCAGGAGCTGGGACGAAGCACAGGAGCTCAACCCATGTGCCGATTCGAACTGCTGACCTTTCGATAAACCAGCCCAGCAGCTCAGCAGTTTAAACCACTAGTTTGCCAGCTATTCAGTGAACAATGACCATGCCAGCTGGAAGAGCTCTGAGATGGGGAAGACTCCCCATGAGATGGGCATAGACAATAGTGAAGGATGAAGAGAACCTGAGAAGCACAACTTGTGGTTTGGGGGAGGGCTCTCTGAAGGTGAAATGTCCAAAAATCCAAGCCAAATACATTTCCAGGACATCAAAGCAGAACTTCTCCTGGGGTGGCAGGGACAACCATATTTCTGCCCAAGAACCCCTTTTTATGAGAAGACCAAGTGACTGCTTCAGAGGTCAGTCTGATTTCATCAAGTCTTAGACCCAGAACTGCTTTTCCATGCTAGAGCTCAGCTTTGCAATATTAAGGAGCTCCCTTAAAACCTAGAATTAAGGTGGGTCCCCCTTGGGGTGTGGGGGAGGATAACTGAAGCCCGCATTCCCCAACATGTTACCCTCCTGAGCAACCAAGTCCCCAATCCCTTTAGAAGCACGGACACATCTGGGGAATTGAGACACTGCTGTGGATGCCACCACAAAATGGCTCCCCTAAAGGAAGCCAGTCACATAATGGCTACCTTGGGGCCTGGCTAGTCAAAAGACGGGTGTGGGAGAAACAGCAAAGCTAGACGCTAGGAAAGGAGGAGAACTAGCAAGGCAAGGTGTTCTCATGTTTCGGGCTTCCAGTTCCCATCAGTGCTAGCCAGCCTGGCCAATGGCCAGGAACACTGAAGGCTGTGGCCCAGAAAGCCCACAAAGCGCCAGGCTGAGGAGGGGTGACTTAACTCCTCAGTTTTAGGGACGCAAAAAGCTGACCAGGAAGGGCTTTACAAATAACCATTCATGTTATTTGTAACCACTCAGCAAGCTCATGACAGCTTTGCAACACAAGGCCTGCACCTGAAGTTTAGGTGGAACGGGAGACACATGTGGTTTGGACAGCCCTTCCGTTTCATGCTCCAGCCACAGCAATAGACTAATACCAGCCTTTCCTTTAGGAACACATCTGACTACTCAAGTGAATCCCCACCTCGGCCAGCTCAAATGCTAGAATTCTGGATTGTTCCACTGCACAGTGGGTGGGGGGCATGTGAGTCCCCTTCTACATAAAGATCCATTTTATGTATTAACTTATTACATGGGTAACCCTTGGTCCCCCCTCTGTGCTGATTGGTCTCCCCATGCAGGCCATGCTGCCTACAGAGGTCATCACATTGCATTAGCCAGCTGTCCAAACCCAAGAGGAACCAACTGGACCCAACAGCAAAGGAGGCATGTGATTTCGCAGGCCACCCAACATGGGTGAATGGATTCTAACCATTCAGACAGAAGATACAGACTTGTGCTTGAATGTTTCTCCATATAGAAGCGTTCTAAATATAAGATAGTCAGTGATAGGAGCCATAACATTTGAGGAGCAGGTGCTGATGAGTCCTTATAAGCCTAGTCCATAGAACAGCACCCAAAAATGCAGGCAGGGCATCAACAAACCATTTCTAACACTTCTCCTCCAGGAGCAGGGTTCTGCCAAGCTAAAGGGTCTGAACTGCCCAGTTCAAGACCAGGTCATCCCCGGAAATTTCTCATTCTAAAGAGATAGCTCATAACAATATAACATTGCTGGGGGGGAAACCCATTTTTCCTACCACCAACTGAGGATTGTGAGACAGAGCAGGGAAGTCTCGCGTCATTGCAGAAGATGTGATTGTCCCTGGTTGGAGGAAATGGGTTTTCATTTCAACTTCTCCCCAACAACTTCATTTCATTTTGTATCAAAGAGCGTAACTTCCGGGATAAGAACGAGAAGGCCAGGCCTTTGAGTTCTTATCTTTTTTACTGGATTTTTAAACAGTAAAATTTTATCACTGATTTCTTTTGAATAATTTCTACTGTATCGTTAATGACTTAGCCAGGGTGCCCAAGCATCTCAGCTCAAGGGTTGACTAGTGCATTCCAAGGGGAAAAAAGACAAAAAAAAATGAGCCGAAGACCATACGATTCTCTCTCTCTCACCTGTGCCACGTTTCTGCAGTCTCAGCCTCTTGAGGATTTCCCCAAATTTCTCATGCTTCCCAAGGTTGGGCAGTTTAATGTGAACTCCTGCACGGAGACCCGTTCCCAAGTTGGATGGGCAGGTCAAGATATAGCCAAGGTGGGGGTTCCACATGAATTCATAGTTTTTGGATTTGAAGAGTGCTTCAATCTAAGCAGAAAGACAGGCCATTAGGAAGAGAGCCTTTCTCCCTGTGGAAGGGCTACGCACCACCCCAGTTACAAAGACCATTTAGTGCCATCTCTGCCCAAAAGATGCTCTATACAAGAAAAGCTACTGCCAACCTTGCAGGATCCCAAGACGATCAGAGAAGCCATGCTTAATGGGTCCAAAGGCCTTGCAGCCAGTGTCTTGCAAACCCCTTGACTTTTCCGCTTTTTGTGATGTTACTACCTGGTTTTGAATGGGTTCAATTGGCATCGTTGCCACTTGATGTAAGCAAGACATTCATTACTTGTGAAAAGGCAAAATATTTTGACTGTGGCACAAAAAAATGGTCATGACAAAGAACAATTGTGGCACTTGTTGACTGCCTAAGTATTCATCCCTTTTGCTGCGACAGGCCTAAACAAGCTTTGATGCAAACTCTGGAAGCCACTGTACTGGAGTCCACCTGCGTGCAGTGATTCTGAAGTTGCTAGAGGAATTTGCAGCTGAGCTGGGAGACAAGGCATCCCCAGATGCTTCACAAAGCTAGGCTTTATGGAAAAGCAGCAAGAAGCCAGCCAGTGCTGAGACCTATCTGCCTCAAAGATTATTTGGAGTTTGCAAAAAGACATGTGGGAAACACAGCAAACACATAGAAAGAGGTTCTCTGGTTTGTTGGGACTAAAATGGAACTTTTTGGCCATCCACATCATGAAGCAGCACCATGCTGTGGGGATGCTTTTCCCCAACAGGGACTGGAAAACTGGTGAGGACTGAAGGAAAGATGGATGGAGCCAAACACAGGGCAATGTTAGAGCAAAACTGTTTGTCTGTAGGGAATCTGGGAGGTTCAGCTTCTAGCAGGACGTTGGCCCTAAGCACCCAGCCTCAGTGACCCTGCAGGGGCTTAAAAGTGAGATCTTGAATGTCTTAGAAGGGCCCAGTCAAAGCCTGTGCCTCAATCCAATCTCAATCCAATCGAGAACTGGTGGCAAGCCTTGAAAGCAGATGTTCCCCAACAGTCCCCATCCAACCTGTCACAGATAGAACTGCTTAGCCAGGAAGGACTGGCAAATGCCGCAGGATGTAGGTACACAAGCCTGGCAGACTCACCTGAGACATCTTGCAGCTGCAAAAGATGCTTACGCCAAGTATTGACACAGGGCGAGTGGCAGGAAGACCTACACAACACGCAAGTGCCAGTTTTTCTTAACTTTTGTGCCACGAGAAAACCATGTTGCCTCTTTGGGATGAAAGGGTTTTACGGCAAGTGGGAACAATGTCAATTCGATCCATTTCAGTTCCAGGTTGCAACACAACAAAATGTGGGAAAGTCAAAAGGGTGTGAAGACTTTGGTAAGGCATCATCCAGCATTCTTTCCCCACTGTGGCCAACGAGCTGCCTCTGGGAAGCCAATGTGAGCACAATGGCACCCCCCTGATTGTGTGCCCCAGCAACGTGCAGGGAAAGGCATGCTTGCTCCAGTACCAAAAGTAAGACAGAACCATCATGACTAAGAGCTACTGCCAGAGTGGAGCTTCTATATAGCTTGAAGTGCCTGATCCTGGCTTACCCTGAAACCTAAGTGAAGTCAGGCCTGGTTAGAATCTGGATGGGTGACTTGAGTCCTGCACTGAGCAGGGAGTTGGACCTGATGGACCTTCCAGGACCCTTCCAATTGTGCAATTCTGTGATTCCATGGGCTTTGAATGGGGTGGGTTTTGAAACCATTCAAGTGGGTGGCTCTCACTACGTCTTGCCACTGCAAATTTCATAGCTGAAGTATGTGAGTAGTAGTACTACCTTTTATCTCGCCTGGATCTCCCTCCATCCCACTGTATGGGATGAACTCAGGTTCGTGTCCTATGAAAAATCAGGATTTATGCAAACAGTTTCCACACACTGCAGTTCCCCACCTTGAAAATCTCTTTACAACCTTAACTGGAGACCTGTAGTTTGATGGAAAGAGGCAGTATGGGAAACATGCGTATCCTTTCCACACTTTTTACAAAGGGGGTATAAAGGCTCTGGTTTTTGCCCCTAACAGAGGACTACGTATAATGAAGCTGCTTGATTCTGAAGTGAAAACAGAGTGGAATCATGATTTTCCCAACAATATTAAGAGATATGGCAGAAAGTGTGGCTTCTTCTGATAGCTGACTGATTCTCTTCCATGGCAAAATTGCTAGAACAGGCAGCAGCCCAAATATTGGTGACCTTCAATTCAGGATCTGGAGGAAGGCAGGGCATTGACCCATCTTCCCCATTCATCTTTCACAGGCAGCTGTCCCAGCTGAGCAGCCTTGTTGCCAGCCACTGCTGTTCCCCTGAGCTTGCTCCAGGGACCAAGAACCAGCAAGCCAGGGGCACTGGCTTCTCCTGCTCATGCCCTCCATGGTCTGGGCCAGAGCCAGAGGCCAGTGGACAAGCCAGGGCTGGCTCTGATCGCCCTGTCAAGTTGCTGAACACAAACACCGCTTCCGAACCTGCCTGCCAGGGTGTCAACATCTAGCCACATGCAACAGGGTCAGAGGAATGCTGCAGAAGCATGCAAGGCTGTTTGCATCCCAATGCCAAGCAGAGCCTTCCAAGACAACACTCGGCATGCCTCAGAGCCGCTCTTCCAACTGCGAGGCAGGCAGGGTTGCTGGAACAGTGTTGTCAGGAGGACCGGCAACGGCTCCTTCAAACAAACGGCACTGCCGCACCACCTCTTGCCTGGACTTGGAATGCAAGCCAACTGGCGGGATGCGGCGGCATTCATGTCCTTCACAGCCCACGCTCAAGCCCACGCTCTCGGGATTCAGTGCCGCGGAGGCAGCTGCACCGACTCGCACCCCCCCTCCCCCCAGCGAGGCTGCCATTTGCTTTTTGCACTGATCTCATTTACCTGCGTTAGTCCATTACAGAACCGGGTGAAAACTTCCCTCATATTTCCACCTTTCTGCATAGAAATAATTCTAAGATGATCTTCCTCGTTGACCCAGATAAGGAAGGTCTTGTTGTCGTTGTGCCTGGGGAGACAAGCCAAAATGCTGGTGAGCACGTGCCAGGAGATTCTGGCTGTACCGTGAGCTCTCATATGCTCTGGAACCCGAGTACAGCCGAGTGCTTACTGGTTTGGGCTCTGGGAGCACAGCAGTCCTCAAAAAGGTGGCATGTGCCCTCAGGTCCAGTTCCCATTTGCCATCCATTCCAGTTTAGGCCAAGAACACTGCAAGCGACACTTCTGCGTAGCGAGGCTGCAGGACCGCCACGCAGGTGCATTGTTTGTGGTCGTTCAGGAAAGCCGCTTTTAAATAAGGAAGCTGACTGCTGGGGGTTTGTTGACCAGGCCGCCACACCCACGTTCCTGGCTTCCAGCCACCATGGCCAGTACTAGTCATTCTTGCTGGTCCTTACTGTGGACATGTCATTAACCCTCTTGCTAGAGATGGAGGGTTCCGAAGTTAACTGGAGGGTATGTTGAGACATGAAAGCCTTCCTAGGTGGATGGCTAAGGAGGGCTTTAAAAGTTTAGGACAGAGTGTGGGTAATTAGGATATCTGCATTTAAAAAGAGAAGGGGCCTGTGACACTTTCTGCTGCTTAAGACAAGCTGCAAAATTTGGCCTGCCATCTGTTGAGACTCCTAAAAGGAGGCTGCCCAGAATTGTGTTCAGATTTTAAACCATAGGTACCCAATACCAGGTTCAAACCTAGCATGAGATCCATGACATTTGCATTCAGATCTTGATGAATTAGTCTTGGCAGACAACAATTTCTCTACTTAATCAACTGTATTCTTATTGCACAGATTAAAGCACTCCAGATGTAGAGATAAAATGGAACACCCTTTTATATGCCCATTTGAGGTCTTGGTATTTTGCTGCAAGCTTAAGGTTTAGGAGCCATTCAAACACCCAAGTAAACTTGCCAGGAGGTGGCACAAGGTTCTTTGCAATTCTGTCCCCTTGCCTATTCATATTATTGCTAGAGCACCCAGCTAGCAGGTACTGTAAAAAACACAGAGCAAGTCAGACCATGTCCAAATAGGCCAACAATGGAAGAGGAGAAAATCAATATGATAATCCAGGTTCCTCGAAGAATTAAGCAACCTGGGTTTAGTCTGCACAGTTTCATCACAGAGCTGGCATTTCCCGAAACAAAATCTGGCTTTTCCAATCCAGAATGTGCTCAGGTTCCAGTTTAGAGCTCTCTGTTGTTTGCATTGCCTTTATCCAAGGGGCGAGCAACTTCCGGCCCTTCAACTGTTTTGGCCTATCGCTTCCATCAACTCCACTGCAATGCTTTATTGGTTCCCTCCTGTCTTCCACAATGGCTTCGAGGGAGGAACTGGGGCAGTTGTACTAGAGTAAACCCATCCAATATGGGTGTACATATGCAGCCTTTTCCCAACAGAAGTACCCTGGGTTTGAATGGCAGATTTTGGATGGGGGTATTACTGGATTGCAGATGCCTCCATCACATGTCTTTGAGCATTTGAGAAGTTTTAACAGAGCACCCATCATAGACACTGCATTAAGTCGTGTCTGCTGATGGACTGTCCTTGTCCACCCCTGGCTGGAGGCAAGGGGACAACTGCGCCACGTAAAAAGCCCTCGGTCTTGCTGCTGGATGCTACTCACCAGATGCCCCGGGCATCAGGCCAGTCTCGTGCCATCCCAGAGGCCAAGAGGAGGGGAGAAACCGGCTTGTCAAACAGGAAGTGATCATCAATAAGCTGCTGCTGCTCATCTTCCGTCATGTTCTTCAGGGCATAGTACCTTCCACTGAGGTCCCCTTCCAGGCTAGACAGAGCTACAAGAAGGACAGAGGTGCTCACAGGATATTTGCATGCATGCTGTGAGTAACTCTCAACCCAGAGGCTTTATCAGGGTACATGCAAGCGTCTTATTCTGGCTTACTGCTGGCTAGGCCAACACCGTAACAAAATTAAGCTTCTGAGAGTGTTTTCAAAGGGGGGAAATCCTCCTTTTAACTAGCCTGAAGAGAAAATAGCTAGCCATTTTCCCAGAAGCCAGGGGGTGGGGAAAGGAAATCACGGTCGGGTGAGATCTTCTGAGAGCTTGCACTTTTAGCTGCTTCATGCTTCCACGTGAAGTCTCTGGGGCCTAGTAAACAGTGTTTGTCTTCTGCAATCGGGGCTCACTCCAGAACTGGGGGAAGAGTGATTGTCCACCCCAAGCCACAGCCCCCACAGCCCATCCTCCTCTGCCATGTCTGCCTTGGCTGGCCCCATCTTAACCTTCTCCTGCAAGGGGTACCTCCTCGTCAACACTGAGAACTGGAGGTAAAAGCACAGAATTTCCACAGGAGCCAGGGGCTGTTAGGGGTACCAAATCCCAGCCTTCCAGAAGGCCCTTAATTTGGCACACCCCAAGAGAATTTGGTCAGTCACAAGCACCTTATCAGAAACTTAACTAGTGCAATGGATTAAGATTAAGATGGATTAAGACCAACGGTTTGCCAGCTGCACATTCTTCAGCACACATTTGATTATCAAGTTATGGCAGGATTGACTTAAGACATCCTGTTACTTCAAGTAGAGAACAAGATGGTGCCCTTCTTCCATTTTACAGAGGCCAAACAGGCAGGCAGCGAAATCAATGCTGTTGAAGGGGCAGCAGGCTGGCTTTGGGGGTGGGGGGCACAGGGCAGGCTCCATGGCACCTCATTCCCCCAACTGTTCCTGCCCTCAGGCAGTCACCCCACTGTAGCTCATACAGGGCCATCCCAGGGCTCGTTTTCAGGCTAAAGCCAAATTCAGCTAGTTTGCCCCATGTGTGTGTAAACAGCAAGCTGCAGTTACCGTATTTTTCGCTCTATAAGACGTACTTTTTTCCCCCTCAAAAGGGGAAATGTCTGTGCGTCTTATAGAGCGAATGTGTGTGCATGTGCACGCGCATGTGTGTGCACGCGCGCATGCCACCTGGCCGGCATGCGCTTGGTGGGCGCTGCTCTGCCCCCCCCCCAGCGCAGGTGAGAGCTGTGACGCTCAGGGGGAGCAGTGCGGAGGAGGAGGTGCCGCAGGCTTTAACCCGCCGGCCGCACAGAGAGACAGACTGCTCACCCCTACAACCCCACCGCGCGGGAAGACCACCGCCGGCACACTGCCAGCCCGGCTGCACCACACCTGGCCGGCATGCGCTCAGCGCGCCCTGCTCCGCCCCCCTCCTCTGGCGCAGGTGAGAGCTGTTAATCACAGGTCAGTGTGTGTTTTCAAATGGCAACCCATCTTTTAATGAAGCCCATGGGGAAGTGATGGGGAATGTGCCTGTGATTATCAGGAAGCTTTCCATGGATCCCTCTTCTAAAAACTAGGTGTGTCTTATGGTCAGGTGCGTCTTATAGAGTGAAAAATACGGTAATTTTACCTTCCACAGAGAGCTTTTCAATGGCACGTCTCTCTCCTCTGCTACAATGAGGAGGAAGGCAGAAGCCACGAATGCTCCGACCAGTTCGGACACGTGAACTTAGCACATAGTTGGGATCCAGATCATCGCCACCCTGCAAGAGCAAAGGAACGTCTGAAACAGTTTCATCACCATGGCAGAAGGCCCTTCGTTGAGTCCTGCCTGCTCGTTTAATGTTTAGCAGTACAAGGAAGCATTATTTGGTACAAGCACGAGTCACCCTGATAAGCTTTAAGAACAAAGTTTCTGTGGTTTCCTCAGAGCCTTTAATTATAAAAGGCTGCGTTCACCATTGCCAGGCAGCAGAGCACAAATTCTCAGCTACTTTCTTCTGCTATGGTGAGTTCCAATAAACTTATTCTTATTATATTACATTTATCTCCTGCCTTTCTTCTTGTTGCAAAGAGCAAGCTTGCTCGCTGCAAGCAAAGTGGCTCCCAAGGTTGTTCTCCTCCTGTGCATTTTAGCCTCACTACAAGCATGACTTCCCTGTGAGGTGGGCCAGGCTGAGAGGCAGTGATTGGCTCAGCATTACCCATTGAGCTTCATGGCCAAATGGGGACTGGAACCTGCATCTCCCAGGGCCCAGTCCAACACTCTGGCCACTGCATCATACTGATTCTAGTTGCCTCTGGCACAGAGTTCAGTGTTTTATACTTTCAATCTTCTAAGCAAAGCCACATCCTAAATCAAGAGCTGCTTTTTTAAGTCCTGCAGAAGGAAGCACTTTAGCACAACTTTCACTCAAAGCCCTAGAGAGGAAAAAGAAGAGCCAGATGATCCCAGGAAGGTGAGGACATATGGCTCATCTCCTTACTAGGGCCACAAGCAGTAACAGCAAAAGTTGCTGTGGAGCCGAAAGGGTGCTCTCGGGAATGTCTTGCTGTAGGAGCTCGCCTTGCACTCATAGGATAAACTGCTCCCGGATGCATTTTGTCCATCAGATAAGATCATTTCATCACCGGTGGAGGAGGCACATCCTAATCTGAGCAGGTCTGACTTCACCGAGAAGGAGAAAAAGAACATTTTTTCTTTGCACCTGTCCCCAGCGCAACTTGGAGAACCAGCTCAAGTCACTCTTCGTTCCTTGCTGTGGGGTGTGGACTTGCCACAGGGCAAGACCTGGACAAGATAACTTCTTGTCCTGTGTCAATCCTGGTATTACTGGTCTATTCTATTCTATTCTATTCTATTCTATTCTATTCTATTCTATTCTATTCTAAATTCCTATTCACAAGCTTCACATGGAAGGGGGCTGCAGAGAGACAAAAAGAAAAAGGGGCAGCTGTTCAGATATCTACTGAATAAGAGAAGATCTAATTCAGGGTCCCAAATAAGGCACCCACAGGGACACTCCCCCCCAACTCCCTCCTTGCCCCCTTAAAAGTTGCTTTAATAAAACCCTGGGAAACTGTTAAAGCCAGCGTCTCTCCCTCTCTTTCTAGCCTTGCTCACTCTTCCCCCTCTTCCTTTTGCTCTTGCGATTCCCGCTCCCTCCAGTCTTTAGCCTTGCTATTTCCCTCCCTCCCCCAGCTTTTTACTTCACTTTTAATTATCCAGGCCTCTCACAGCAGCCATTATGTAACTAGTCACATTCCACCTGACAGCCATTTTGTGAAGGCCTTCCAGCAGTTTCTCATATTTGCACACTTCTAAAAGACTGGGAAGCCCTGGTCTAACCAGAACCATTTAAAGTCGCAATAAACCCAAGCATTCCCACTCAACATGGCCCAATCAAATCTGAGTATTTATATCTGCACCCATGTCTATGCAACCACATTGATACCTTACTGGTAGAGATCTCTCCCTTTAAGAAATCCAGTTCTTATCCAATGCACAGTCCCCCAACCACACTCCATCACGGGGCATCAAGGAGGAAGGGATACCATATTGGTGAAAAATGGCCTTTGGTGCATTTTGGGGTAGGAAGACATGGACTGAGGATCCCATTTCAGACCTGGGATCAACAATGGGAGACACCAGTGGCTGTCATAGCTGGCAGGCTGTCCGGTGGGCAAAGGCATCCCTTGCGGACTTTCCAGCAGTTCCAGCCACCCTCGCCAATTGCTGACCTGCAATGGCCTGCCTAGGGATGCCTTTGAAGTAAACAGAAGAGGGAGTTAGGCCAAGAGGCCAGCTCCCAGAAACCACGTGAACAAGCCCAAACCAGGGCAGGACCAAGAGCACATCAGCAGGTCATCCTGGAAAATATCAACTTGTTTAAAGAGGCATCTCTACCTGTAAGTGATCTGCATTCAAGTCCGTCTTGTGCTGATCCGTAGGCTTGTAGCCTCCATGTCGGTCCTCGATAACGGGGTCAAAAAGTTCCTGAAACACGTCATATGAATCCTCATCACCAGCTACACATCCTACAGTCAGAATGTAGGGATGACCTAGAAAGAGGAACAAGCCAGAAGCGCTGAGGGTTGGGCAGTGCTTGGAGAGCATTCCTGGACATTAACAGCTTGCATCCGCTCTCTCAAATCAGTGGAAAGACAAGACCATTGGTTTTGCATTCCATCGGCATCACAAGGTTTCTACCAAGCAGATCTTGCTGAGCGGCAAAAGACTTTACAGTCTTCAATTAAGACTTTACGGTTTGCAAACCCAGCCTGCATGCTGACATTAAAAGCTTAATACATCCATACAATAAAAAATTAAGACCTTGATTTAGCAGGAAGGTCTAGATTTCTATACTGATTACTTCAAAATGATGCAACAGAAAACTCAACTCACAATTAAGTGGTTTTCTTTATATTACAGTGACTCTTGCTTTGGGGCAGAGAATGGAATTGGCAGGTCACTCCGCAATGTTTAATAACGAAAAGCTCTAGATAAGCGACTGAAGGTGGAATTCTATGCATGTTTAGACAGAAAAAGTCCTACAGTTCCCAGAATTTCCCAGCCAGTCACACTGCCACACACTGGGAATTACGTTAGTTTTTTGTCCAGACACGCTTAAAAACGGATGCTGTCACTCAGCCCTCCATACACCTCTTCACATCCACCAGGCATTCAGCTGCTATTACTTTTGAGTGCCAATATTAAATGCTGAACCCGAGCAATACATTCTGCAGTTGGCACACGTTATGTACATCTACAAAAAAGCTGCATAATTCATTCGGCATTATTTGCTTTTGCATAATTTAATCAGCCAGGAGCAAGAAAATAACACGGGGACTAAATACGCCACATTCCCCTCTCTGGAATCTTTTTCAGGGACCTGAAGTCTCAGCATACACTGCAACATGAGCATTTAAAAAATTAGCCTATTAAGCCACAGTCGGTCAGAAAACTGAACTTCTGCTGTGCAGAATCATGGCAAGCATACAGCCTCACTCACATATCTTGATCCGGTTGTATTTTCTTTCAAGGGACTCACTTCCCTTGGGGCTACAAACAATTTGCCCAGAACTGATGGATTTCATGTGCATCAGGGCTGAAATATGTACTAGAAAATCAGATTACTGCATGGAGGTGGGAGAGGTAACTGTGCTGGCAAGTAAGAAAAATATCAAAGGTATGTGTTAGTGTAATGTTTTTATTAGGCTAGCCAACAAATCACAAAGGTGTGCAAAACAGATATCCAGATCTCTCCATCAGGCAAGTTGTTACAAAAAGCAGGTGGGAGTAAAGACATTAAAGAATGACTGTAGCTTTTTTAAAAAGCCTGTGCAGGTTCTAAAATTAGTTCCACTCTGCTTAACATAAAATCTGCCTAGTTCTCCTCTGCAGTCCACTAGCAAAAGGGACCAGCATACAAAGCCCAGGATGGGAATATGTCTGAATAAAAGCTGGATTTCATAGTTCCAAGGTGCGGTATTCACCAGGCTTCCGTTTCTTCTTCTCAGCAGCCGCGGGGACAGCTGCCACTCTAGCCCTGTAGCCATCACATGACCTGCAAGCCTAATTTGAATGTCTGCAGAGCACTCTGAATGTTCAGGGTGTCTCCATCATCAGGTCAGGTTCTCCCGACCCCCAAGCCTGCTTTTTGCACCATCTTCCAGGAGTTCGCAAAAGCTTACACATTTCTGTGAGCGTTTCGTTGGCCTAACCTCAATATGCTTTTTGCAGATGAAAATTCTCTATTTTTATTAATTTAATTTCTGTATCTCCGTAAAGCTGAACTCTGTGGGTAATTCACAACTCTGGAACGGGATGCAATCACTCAGGGGGATGTCTCTCCCATCGGGATCACGGACCAGTACAGGATTAGGATCCACCAGTAGATTCCAAGGGAACACCTTTGTCAAAGGTGTTTTTTGCCCAGCATTCTGTCTCCGGCAGCAGCTGGAGAAAGATACCACCGAGGCAAGAGCTCTCTCCCAATGTCCGATGCTCAGAGGAATGCCTCTGATTGCAGAAACTCAGTTACTTGTCCTGGGAAGGCCACAAGCCGGACACAAGAGGAATGGCCTTCCCCGCTGTTGCGTGTAGTAATAATAATGAAGACAATAATATTGGCCGTAAGCAACTGTATTTGGCTCCTAGCCTGGAGGTAGCCAACATGAGTACTTAATATCTTTCAATAATCCCCTTTCAATTCCAATAAAATAGTGGTCTTTAACACACCTGTTCTGTCCCACCTCAGGAAAAGGGAAAAAAATCCAACAAGATAGTTAGCTGCAATTAAAAGGTTGCATCTATGTGAGCTCCTTGTTCTCAAGCAGCTTGCATTTCTGCAGCCCTATCAGCAACCCACTGCTCTTTCGCTTTCTCTCTTTGAAACACACACACACACACACACCCCCATGGCACTAATACTAGCCTAAGCAAAAGCCACTGCTCTTGTTTACTGGGATTATCAACTCCAATCTAAATTACATCATCCAAACTGAAGCCACAACTCTCTCTCTCTCAGTTTCTGTTATAACTCGGGGGTTAGAACCTTGGCCAGGCAGTTGAGGGAGCTCAGATCTGGGCACTCCTCATAGGGTGGCACTAGTTTCTGATTATTAAAAGGGGCCATTTTGATCTTGCTGGAGAGTGACAGAAACACAAACACTGCAATGTTAAGAGAAACAACAAAGCATCATACCTAGATCTGCTCCCCCTTCATTTGTCAAAGACGTGCTACAGCCAATGCCCAATTTTTAGAAAGGGACATTAAGACTCAAGTTCAAAAACAAAACAAAACCTAAAGAATTCTCACACCATGTACCAAATTGGATATTTAGCAGAGCAGTTATGCAGAGGTTTGGTGGGAGGCAGCTGCTTGCACTAATCTAGCCTTCCTCAACTGGCACCCTCCATTATATGGCTGGGGATGATGGGAACTGTAGTTGAACCCATCTTTTCTCACTCAGGTTGAGAAAAGCTAGGCTGAATGAATCAGTTTGCATTCCTTCACAAATAAGGCCATCTTTAAGATTCTGGCTGGGACAGGGGGTTTGCACTCATCCTGCAAGCTTTATGGGGTAGGCTTTGAGGGGACAGGATTAAGTAGCCAGGCCTTTAGCAATCTCAAAGACCTCTTTCTGATGCTATTTTCAAAGCAGCGCTTCCTCGTCAATGGAGAGAGAGCAGATCCGGGTCACAGAAGGCAACCTGCGTCTTTTACCTGGGTTGTCAACCCCAGTCTGAATCGCGTCATCCACAGAAAATCCGCTGGAAGTCTGTTTCCCCCTCAGTCGGGCATACATCTCCATGGTCAGCACTTTAGCCATGTGGTTGTTGTGGCTACTCAGGTCGGGGAACTCATCCTCCGCGGAGAATTTCGACTTCACAAGGTTGTGGCTGTTGGAGAACGGCATGGTGGGCACCTCACTGCAGGGAGCTATGGAAGAGAAGAAGAGACCGTCACCTCGCTCGCTCCTCCGTGGCGTTCACGCAGCCGCCTGTCGCCCCACGGAAGGCAGGCCCCTGGCACAAGGTCACCTTGCAGCATGCCCTACCTGCCCGTGCAAACACTTTCCCGGCAAGGCAGCACCTGCCCTTGTGGATGACCGCCAGGTATTTGGCACGCCTCACGCAGGCCTTCCTGGCACAGGTGCCAGTCCTGCGCAGGAAGCCTGTGCTAAGGGATTTGCCCAAGGTCAAGGAGCACATCAGTGGCAGCGACAGGAATAGAAGGCGAGCCGTCCAACTTCCTCCACGAGCTCCGAGGAGCTGCACCGAGGAGCACCTCCCTTCCTCTCCTTGTCCCCAGGGTCACCTTCAAGGCGACGGAGCAGACATTTTGTCGTCGAGCAAAAGGGGAGGCGGGGGGGGCAGAGGAATCTCCGAGGTGGAATCCCCCTTCCCCAGGCGCTTAAGCCTCGCTTGCAACGAGATCCGGCCCCGGCAGAGCCGAGGCGGCTGCCAGGCGAGCGAGGAGCCGTCCCAGCCTCCCGCCAAGGCCGGGCAGCGGCTCGCCTGCCTGTCGCAAGAGGTGTCGAGGGCTTGGCACGAAGCACCGGGCGGAAGGAAGGCGCGAGGGCGGCAAGCCTGGCCGCCCACGCTGCGCCGCTCGGAGCTGCGGCCGAAGGAGCAGGTGGAGCGCGGGCGGCGCCCCCCACGCGGAGGGCGGGCGCGGGAGCGGGAGCGCCCCGACGCGCCTCGCCCTGCCCTGCCCTGCCCAGACCGAGCGGAGCGCCGCGGGAGTGCACGGGGGCAGCCGCGGGGGACCGGCCCCTGCAGCGCGCCCCCGCTGCCCTGCGCGAGCACGGGGGGCCGCCAGGGGGGTCGGAGGGCGAACCAAGCCCGCGCTCGCCCCGGGGAGGGCGGCGGTGATGCCCGCACCAGCGCCACGGTCAGGGAGGCGGCGGGGGGGGGGGAGGCGGCGACCGGGAAAGCGCAGGTTCCTGCTGCGTCTCCAGCGGGGGGGGGGGGGGGGGTTTCCCCCCCCCGGCGGCCGGGTCCCGGGGGGGGGGCCCCCCCCCCCCCAAGGGCAAAAAAAGCCTCTAGGGCCCCCCCCCCCCGGCTTCTTCACCCGGAGGGCGGCTGCGCTCCTCACCGCTCTTGCTCCGGAGCCTAAGAGGAAGGGACGCCCTGAAAACGGAACAGCCCCATTATATAACGAACTTCTGCAATAGGGTGACACAGATGCCAGTACTCTGCTCAGCGCCCATTAAAAATACCAGTTCGTCTGGACTGAGGATGCTCAGACGGGGCATTTCCCCCCCCCCCCCTTACAGGGCGAAATAACACTGAAGCATCTCTGCGCTATAGTCGATGCCTCCATGTTCCGCGCGAGCGGAAAGCAGCGTCTCCAAAACGGCTTGGCGAAAGAAACGAGCATCCGGCTCCACCGCGGCGTGCTGAAAAACACTCGCGCACCAAAAAAAGTCACGCTCGCCTCCCCGTGCTACTTCGCTCGCCCCCTCTTCTCCCCCACTCCGAGGGGAGGATAATCGCGGCCGCACGCCGCCCGCGCAGTTCACGGAGCCCTTCCGCGGCGCCGGGGGAGCCGCGGCGCCAACCGCCCCGGGACTTACCGCGAGTTTCGGAGAAGGGAACGCAGAAGCCAAGCGCACTCGCCTCTCCCGACCTCGCTGCTCTCCCAGAAAAACCTGCCTGGAATGGAACCCTGACCCCACCTTCCCCGCACTTTTATACACACCCAACGCGGGCCGCCTATTGGCTAATATTTATATTCCATTCATTCCATTGGCGATCTGCTTGCCACGATGGAGGGGGGGCGTCCTCTTGGCCACCTTCGCCCGCGGCGGCTCCCCACTTCGCTGCTGGGGCTCGGAGTCGGGCGTCCGGTTGGCGAGGGCGTGAGCGAGCCCAGGGCGCGTGAATGCTCTGACCTCGGGGCAAAGGCCGCCTGACAAGGAGCATTCTGGCCGTGGGGGGGGGGTGCCGGGGGTGGGCAGGTGGGGAGACGTGTGCTGCAACTCTCTGCACCCCCCTTCCGAACGCGAGGGGGCTTGCTCTGAAAGGCGGCTTGTGCGCTTTGTAAAGTGCTTGGGAGGGATGCCCCCCTCCCCTCGCACGCAGTGGGGTTTCTAAGTGCAAATGTGTTGGGTCGAGCTGCGCGCTGTGGCAAAGGCCACCGGGGCCCTGGCCTCGTAATGATGGGTCTTGAGGCGCCAGGTGTGCGCCTCTTCGTGTCTAGGCATCCTTTTCCGCGGCTCCTGGCAGGAAGGAGAACGATTATTGAAACGCTGAGCTGCGAGGACTTGGAGCTGGCCAGCCGAACAACGCGCGAGTGGTTAACGGCCTCTCTCAGCCGGCTCCGCAGAAGTTTTCTGCAAAGCTGCTTCGAGCACCTACCAGCTGCTGCTTTGCCTGGGAAATGGCCCTCTCTGCCCAGCATTGCAGGCCAACCCTAGGCAGGTCTACTCGAGACTAAGTGCCACTGATTTCAGCAGGGCTTACATGCCCAGATCTGTGTGTCCAGGACAGGCACTTTTTTCCCAGTAGAACTGTTTCTTTTAGCCTTCTCCGTGTGTTTTCCCGATGGGTTGGACTCCAACTGCCATTATCCCCAGACAACAGGAGTAGTAGTCCAGCACATGTGGAGGTCACAAGGCTAGCTCAGGTTATATTTTAAAGGCAGCATTGTAGGAACAGTGATGCTTTTAAAAGGGCAGAAGTAAATTTTCTTTGGTCTCTTCCAGATGATCAGGTCTCCTGTGCCTTTAAGGACTTTGAACATGAAGTAGATACCACCAGATGCAGCTAGGGAGGAAAGGGGTCCTGTATCTTTTATGTAGGAGAAGCTTTTTCAGCAGGTGCAGTTGCAAAGACCCAGGGAGAAGGGTTTAAAAAAAGAAAAGAAAAACAGGGCCCATATTGTGAAGAGCCAGCAAAAACTCCTTCATTCTTGGCTCCCTCCCCAGCTGCTGCAAAAGGATTAAAAAAAAAACTTTTTAGGCCACATGAAAAGCAGACAAACCTTTGGCAGAGTCCTCCTTTTCCTGTTACTCTGATTGAAATCTTTTTACCCTCCGTACCATAAAAGAGGAATCAAAGAGCCCCTTTGCCTGGATCAGGTCAATGCATGTAAGTGGAGTGAAACAATAACATGGTTTTTGCCACCTCAGACTCTTAACTTTTGTTTTGCTGTCTTTGTGTGTGGAAAGTGCTCCCTGCAAGTGGGAAAGCAGCACCACAGAGAGCGAGCAAGCCCAAGCCCTTGCCGCTGATAGACTACCTTTTCACTGCAGGGAGGTGTGTTCGCCTTTCTGAAACGTGGGGGAGGTTTTGGAGGCGGGGCTGATTGGCGCTGTCAAGAGGCACCTGCCTCATCCAGCTGCGGGCGTGGGCCAAATCGCTGACATGAACCACTTGTTTAAAGCTCTTCTGGCTTACCTTTCTAAAATGATCGAGGTGGCTACCAAAGGAAAATGTTAGCTTAAAACATAACCAGGAAAGAGGAACTGTAAGGCTGCAGTTCTGTACTTGCTGACATGGGAAGAAGTCCCTGCAGATTCCATGGGTCGGACTTCTAAATAGGCTCGTGCTGCGTGGCATTATTTAAAAGACAAAAGAACAACTCAGACATGAAAGAGAGAACATCCCCTAAAAAGCAAGAACCTGTCAACCAAATTCGTTTAAATTATCAGCAATTAAAGACTTCCCTTAAGGGAGGAGGGGTGAAGACCTTCTTGGCAGAAGCATGCCAAGAAGGGCCCTTTTTGTAGTAGCAACCTCCTAAAGTGAGGTGACCCAACCCCAAGCCCGATGGCACTTAGGCTGGCAATGTTCCACCGGCCTTTGTTACATGCTGGAAAGTTTCTTTGGCTCCTCCTGATTTCAAGAATTGAGTTTTAATTTTTGATGATGTGTGGTTTCATTCCTCAGTGCAAGCAGGTATGGGGGCTGAAAAGCACAGGAAAATTCTTTCATAAATTTACAGTTAAGACCAGCAAAGGAGAAGCAAGGCAGATCTCTGGGAAGCCCCAAAGGCCAGATGCATCCATGCCTGCACAATCATTCCTAGGCCAACTCTCCCTGGCCTGGTACCCTCCAGACATGTGAGAATTCAGCTCCCATCAGCCCCAGCCTCCATGGCCATCAGTTAGGAATCCTGGGATCTGTAGTCCAAATCATTAGGTTGGTGCAAGCAATCAAGGTACATTGACAGGGGAGGGCGTCTTAGGAATTGGGCCAGGTGCTTTGGAGTCCAAACCCCACTGTGGCTGACCTCAGGCCAGCATGGATACGACTGATGGGAGTTGTAGTCTAATACATCTGGAAGGCACCAGGTCAGGGAAAGGATTGGACTGACTAGCTCTCTATATTTTACTATTGATTTTTATCAAGTTCCTTCCAAGTTAAAACAGAAACAATATTTTGATCTCCATACAACACACAAGCACTGCACAGTCATTCACCCCAACACATTCATACAAGACAGACACATGAACAGGACTGGGAAAACAAAAAGTAGGAGGGAAAGGAAAAAGATGACGGCATTGACACTAGGAGAATTTTGTATAAGAATTTGGTTTTTGCTCACAAAATTTATTTATTTATTTATTTATTTATTTATTTATTTATTAAAACGTTTCTATGCCGCCCCATTCGCCAAAGCCTTGGGGCAGCTCACAACATTAAGTTAAAATACAAACATTAAGTTAAAACATTAACTTAACATAACATTAAGTTAAAATTTTTGTAAAATACAAACATTAAGTTAAAATACAAAAAATAACGATATAAAATAAATAAAATATATTATATTTTAAATATAAAATGTGAGCATGCCCTCTTTGGAGCTCCAAGCATGAGCACATGTAATCCCAAAATATTAAAAAAGGATCAAATGTGCTCATGCTCCGTATTCCTTGTTCAATTTATGCAAACTTCCTTTGCAGACTGATATTATTTCCACAAAAGGCATTTATTGTGCGCTTGTGAGTCTCCGCTCACAGTAGTTTATGGATACTGTATGCAATGTCACAATCACTTGGGTTCCTCCTGCTCTTTGCAGCCATATCCATGGTGTCTTAGGTCCCATAAAGTCAGGTATTACCCATGAATGGTAGCATGAAACCCTCATGAATTCGTGCAATTCTGCTATGCTACAGCGCCTCCTAGTGGTTGTAAAATAAAAATGTATAGAAAAGTAGCAAAAGAAAAAGCATATGTAATGAAGCCCATCTTAATCTTTATAAAGAAAAACTGCACAAATTAGAAAGCTTGTGCACGTGTGGGAAAGATACCCAGGTCTCTTGTTTGATCACTACTTATTTTCCACAAGTTTCCTGTTCATATGGAGCAAGCAGTGATTGCAAATGGAAATGGAACTCAGGCATGAGCTGAGCAACATGATGATGTTTGGAACACCCCGGTGACCCCAAGTATTGCTTGTTCCCCTGTTCTTAGCACCACGTCATTAGCACTAGCACTGTGAACACATTGGATTCTGTCCAATAGAGCTGTTAGCATATGGCACTCCAAGCTGACCCATCTCAGACAGTTTCTGGTATAATTTAGGGTGCGAACTTATGCATGTTTAGAAAGAAAAACGCCCTGCAGCTCCTAGCACGCCTCAACCAAAATCAACAAAACATATGCTTTAAAAACTGAGGTGTGTACAGGAATGACCAGAGATGTTTAAGAACATAAGAGCCACTGCTAGCTCAGATCACCGTATACTTGAAGTTGGGATGTTTTGCCGCAATATACATTACTTTACACTTGCATTCCCCAGCAAGGTGGGTGCCCAGGCACACTGCCTCTGATACAGGCATAGCGCCATGAGGACCAGTCACAGCCTTGGTCAGCCATGAAGCAATGCTGGGTAGCCTTAGGCCAGTGACTGTATCTCATGCCCATCCTTCCTCACAGGAAATAAAATAGAAAAAATGAATTCCTGGGAGGAAGGGTGGATTTGAAAAGGAAAAGCCTCTGTGTCTTCCCAAACTGTGTAGAAGAGCACATCTGGGGAAGGGCAGCGGGTCTTCTGTTCCGCACTTACCAAAATTCCTTGCACAGCTGCTCTGCACTGCACTTCAGTCCCCCTCCCCATAGCAGCATCTGCACCCGCCATAGTATAAGAGGAAAACCAACCACATCTGGCCACATGCTGTACATCTTTTTTAAAGGCACAGAAGCTCTTTCAGGCTCGGGAACAAAGTGCTCATCCTTCCCCATTGGAAAGAGAAACAGAAACCCACATGATGCTCTTAAAATAAAATGCAGTAGTTGTGGTCAGCATCAATTTACTGGTGGCTTCCCCTAGGGACTGTAAATTTGACTATCTTTGTTTCTGTGATTGGCTTGGGATTTAACCAAAGAGCATTCTTACCTGGGCTGTAATACCCATCAGAGTTCGGAGGTGGTGACACCCACCAAAGAAGTGACCAGAAACCAAGAGGACAGGGCTGCTGTGCCTTCATGAGTTGCATCACTTTTGCAGGTGGCCACCCTACCCAGCCATTGGAGAGAGAGGGTGGAACCAGAGCAAAAGTGGGCAGGGTGTTTCGCACGGCTTGGTCGCTCTCCGTACCACCATGCTTCTGTGGATTGCAGGCCTTTGGGATCCCCACTAATGCTTGGAGAACATGCTTGGACACATTCTCCATGCCTGGATTGGTGGACCAAGTTTAGATTTACTGCCAGGAA